TCAATCCCTTTGGTTCCTTCCACAATCTGGAATTTCACTTCCTGACAAGAAGAAGAGAGTGAGACATACTGAGTCAGATCCCAGCTCCACTACTCATTAGACACATAGTTTGGGGCAAATTTTGCAGCTTTTCCTCCTCACCTATAAAGTGGGGACAGTAATACTTACCTTAGGAGGCTATTAGGAGAATTTGATGAGATTGCAGGTGCTATTTATTTTATTTTAAAGTGTCTTGCACAGTAGCTCACACATAACACACCATCAGTCAGTGTGAGCTCCCTCCACCCATTTGCCCTCTACTCCCCCTTTGAAAGACAATTTTTGGCCAGGGAATGAGAGGCCAGGCCATGTGGAGATGGGTGGTAAAGCTGTTGAGTGACTAACATGTTCCACTAGAGCTCTGAGTATCCTCACTGAATCAGTGGCACCAGTTTTATTTTCAGAGACAACAGAAATCTGATCAATTTCTGTCACCACTTTCAAGATGGTTCTCCATAACCAAATCTAACCAAAATTATTTTGTCACCTGGACAATATTCAGCATTATGACATTAAAAATGCTTCAAATAAATTAATAAATACAACATTAATGAATGAATACAAAACGAATGAATGAATGAATGAATGAACCAACGAATACCAAAGCAAAATTTAAACAAACTGGGGAGAGACCATTTTCCGGTTGTAACACCACTGTTACCTTGGCGATCCAGTTCTTCGATTAGAAGCTCTACAAAATCAGTGCTGATTCCTTCCTCCTCCCTAATGTCCATATCCCCAAAACAACAGTGCTGAGACCAGAAGCCAAGAGCAAAGACTGGCAAAATCAGCAGGTCCCCATATTGGGTACCAGCCATTTTGGAGCAGATAAAGTCATTAAGGAAAATTTTAACAATGTATAACCTTTCAGTTTTACTCTGCTCACAGCAAGTGGTTTGTCTTTCAGAGACAAGAGCCTGCCTTGAAGTCGCCAGTGAGCAGGACTTGACCTTCATTTTTCGGCATATGCAGCATTAAATATTCATAATCCACGTAACCAAAGCATAAGAAGTAGCAGTGTTCAAACATGAATAAAAGGAATGAAAATCTGCACATGTGTGAGTCATTCTTTCCCAGAATGCCTCTGGGAAAAAATGCAGATACCCAGAGCTCTGAGCTGCTGTCTCTTCCAACTTTCTCTTGAAATTCTGGAAATAACAGGACCATTGCATTATGCAACCCATGAATCCTGCTCTCATGCTGATATCCACAGGTCTTTCTTTTCTTCCCTCCATCCCTTATCTATTAAATAAGAATTAATATTCTTGTCTCAAAGGGAACCAGCAACAGTGACTGACATTAGCATTCATAGGCCATCAAAGGAAACTCTCCACTTGGTTGTATAACTTTAAAAAAAAAAAAAAAAAAAACCTTTCCTATTTGGGAAAGGTCTCAGGCATTGGGAGACATCAGAATAGGGAGCTAGGGGAGCTACAGATGTAGCTCAGTGGTAGAGTGCTTGTCTAGCACGCTCAAAGCCCTGAATTCAATTGTCAGTTACAAAAAAAAAAAAAGAATTAGGAGCTGAAGTGACAACATGGGGCATAAATTGTGTAAGAAGCCTTTTTAAAAGAATAAAAATGTTCCCCTTGGATGGCTAATCAGAAGAGATATTTGGGAGGGGTGAGTATCATGAGCTTCATGCAATTATGAAGGCACTGACATTTATGTCTTTCCAAAGACTTGCAAGATCACCTCCCTCTGCTTGGGTCTTTCCAGAGAGTCTACCACTGGGATGATGAAGCGTACTTTTAACACAGTTTAATATAATTCTCCTTGGCTTTCAACTCTAGATGCTCAAAGGCACTCTATCTCAGCTAAATAGTAACCACTGGAGGCCACAAGAATGATCTTCCCTGGTGATCCTTCCAGGAAAATTAAGACCCAAAGAACTGCTTCTCGAACCCTTGAATGAAAAAGACCAACTCAGAGATCTATCTATCCTGGCCTAATAACTCAAAAGAAAGATGCCTAGGAAAAGATGGTTTTATGAACAACCTATCTTCTAATCCTTAATAGTAAAATGCACTTTGAAAGGTTAAAAAAATCATAAAGCTGCTAATTAGACATTCATCTGAACTCCCTTATCTATCTGCTGATGCTCAGAGGTAGATTAAACCACTTGGCTGGTGTGTCCGAAGTATAATTGGATGTGGCCTACTCTGAGACTAAGCTGGCAGAGTGGACCATCAGAGCCTTCTTTATATATTTACCTGCTTTCTTTGCACATCTCAAAAGACAAGGTGCAGAGCCTCAGATCTTGAACTTGTACTGTTCCTAACTGTTTTAGTGGGGCTAGGTCTGGTTAAAATACAGTGAGACAAGCCATTTCATGGACAATGTCAGTCTAATTAATTAGGCTCACTCCAGATTTATTTATTTCAAGGGAGTAAATGCTAACTAAAATTCATCTCAAAAATATTAGGTACTTTTTTCCAAGGTGATGACTCAGAATAATTTCCAAGAGAAGTTCTAAGCTACTTTGCAAGATGTCCAGAAGGCCAGCCAAACCATGACTGTTCAGTTAGTAATAGTTTTGAATGAAAAGGATAGACTTTAAGAATGTCTATTCTATTTTCTTAACCTCTTTCCATTTGCATCTTGCTTGTATGTGGACAAACTTTCATTTTGTCTTGTTCACTAAGCTTGATTGTGGTTTGTTCAATAGGTTTCATTTCGTTTTATTCCTGGGAATTCATTGGCTTATCATAAAGGTTAACTTTATAGATTCTACTCTAATGTTCCCCTTGCTTAAGCTGAGCTTACTTTCTGACTCTCCCCAAGAAGATGAAAGACTCTCTTGTGCTGATAGATGATGGGGTCTCTCATGGTTCAAAATCTTGGAATATGGTCTTAGGACCAAAAGAAGTCAGGTGAATGAAAAGTAGATTGGGCTACACAAAGAGCCACAAAGTCTTTTTTTTTTTTTAATAAACAAAGTCTTGCTAGGATAAACTGCACAGTTTAATGATACAGAAGAGAGATGGGCTAAAGCTAGGATGAGGCCAGGGCAGTCTCCAAGGACAGTCTCATCTCTAAGACCAGCTTTGGTAGAGACTCCTTGCAAGTCCATCAAAGAATCAGAGAGGGATTCCAATGCCAGCTTCCACAAGGCTCTGCAGTGTCAGAATTAATTCCAAAGGACACGGAGGCAGGCAGAGCATTTAGGAGAAAGGGTCTGCCTTGGGGAATTTCATCCTTTTCTATCTTCTTCCATGCAGATGAGAACACCAGACCCAGAGAGCCAAAGACTGTCTCCTAGTAGACGCTAGAAAAAAAGGACACCATCCAGATCCATCCAACAAAGAGCATTTTATTTCCAAGTATTACAGAGGAGTAAAAAGGGAGGGAAGGTGCAGCTGAGGTATCTGTCCTTCCAACAGGGCACCACACTCACCTTTACGTAAGGTGTGCTCTCTCTTTCCCCAGCAGGGGACCCACAACCTATGAGAACACCCCTGGGAGAGATGGGAGAAATAAGACCAAGGGATTTAGAACCCCAGTTGAATTCCAATAGGGTCCAGAAACACCAAATGTAAATATTCAAAGAGGGCTTACCTTCCATGACATGCCAATTGGAATCTTCCAAATTTAAAAACATGCTTCCATTCTTGGCTAGCGATTTTTGATGAAACAAGTATGCATCCTCATCCCCTGAGGATTGTAAAAGGTCCCTCCATTCAAGAGAGTGAGGGAAGCAGGTCTTGGATGTAAGGATTGGCTGAGGCACTCAACAGTCTTAGTCGTGGCTGACTCCCAGGGACAGGTGATCAGAGGAGATGTCTTCTTTATTTTCCCTAACATGACTTTTTGGCCTCTGCACCCCAATGCACAAAAATCATCTGGCTGGTGACCAGAATGCTCTGAGACATTTAGAGTTTAGGTGTGCATGAAATCACCACCAACCAGAGTCTCAGAAAAAATGAGCACGGAGCTCAGTATTCAGGCACAGCAAGTCCAAACCAACAGACAAAAGAGGCAGGTTTCCTAGAATCAAAGTCTAGTTTCCAACAGCATGAGGAATGGAGTTAAAAGTGTTAAAAGCACTCTCACCACAGATAGCGAGGGCAAGAGAAGCTCAAGGTCACTGTCCCTTGGCCAGAGTCATCAAATTCCCATTGCAACAGAAAAACAAGACTGACTCCGTCTCTGCTCACTTCTCAGTTTCGATGGATGACGGCACTAGAAAAACTGGAACAAATGATGCATCCAGGGGACCAGAGAGGGTGTAGCGGTCACCTGGCAGCTCCAGCAGGTGCTCTCTTCAGCCTCTGGAGGGTGCTCGCCATCTGGGACCCAGGTCACCCTGGAGCACCAGTTCACTCAGTAGGTACCCAGAGGTATGCAAGAGTGTCCCCTGCAGGAGTTCTCAGATAGCCCTGGTCACCTCCACTTCCAGGATTCATCTTGAATCCCTTTGTCCCACGTCCCTTACTTTCACAATTCAAGAAGCACCAGCATATGATGCTTCAGCTAAATGTTGGGTTGGCTGGTGAAAGAATAACACCTTGCTTTCTAATCTGCCCTCCAACAGGATCAAAGCACGGGAAACCCAAATGAGAAAAGGCTCCTACAACCATGCAAGAATAGCTTCAGATGCTATGGAACTGTCACCCTCCCAGAGGTTGCAATTGCCCATCAAAGCCCTCTTAACTTCTTGACATCTTCAGCACAAATACTTTATGAGGAAATAGCTATTTAAAATAAATAATACCCAGCAAGAAGGCTTGACCCCATGGGAGGCCCCTCCCTCCCATGCCAGCTGAATCCAGGCAGCCTTCCTCTGAGAGCTTTCTTTCCCACTCAGGAAATAGCACAGAAGAGCCCTGCCTTCCTCCAAAAGTCTTCGGCACTCGGGAGGTTCTTGCAGGGGTTGGTGTTAAGGGAAATAAATTCATCAGTGTACAGGGTCATGGTTGTTTTAGAAAGAGAGGGCAGGAACAACGTATTTGAATACTCACTTTGACGAATCTATGAAGTATATCACAAGTGCACCAATGCTGAGAGCAAAGACCAACACAACCTGCAAAGAAGAGGAAAATGCCATCACTTTATAGCCAGACATCAGGCTGTTTATTTATCTTTATTTTTTTGACACTTGCAGCAGCAACTGAAACATGGTGCCAACTGCCTTCAGGAACCTGGTTGGAATTGCGTGCCCTTACTGCCCCCACAGGCCATCTGATGTCACCTTCTCATCTGGCAGTGGGCAGCACCCTTGTTCCTTGCCAATAGGGGTCAAGGCAGACTTTTACCTCTCCGGGCACTGGGATTTTTATCTGGTCCTGTAATCTGAAGGTCCAGCTTCTCTGTGACTGAAATCAATACACTTCAGGGGGAAAAGAGCAGGTAAAGATCTGAGGTGATAAGATTTGTTGTGTTATGTGACTTAGAATCTAAAGAGACCCCAATACAGAATATCAATTTTTAACAGCTTTGTTGAGGTATAATCTACATGCCACAATATTCACCCATTTTAAGCATTCAATTCAGCAATGGCTTTTAGTAAATTTACCATGTTGTGTGACCATCACCATAATCCACTTTCAGAACATCTTCATTATCCCAATAAGATCCTTTGTGCCCGTTAAATTAATCCCTGTTCCCATCTCCTGGCCTCAGACAACCACTAATCTGCTTTCTGTCTCCACACAAGAAAGATCCATTTGAAAAGCACAGATTTGCATGTACAAATATCCATATGGGCATGTGCACACAGACAGAGCTGTATGAACATTCACCGTGTATACACTACAGGTATGTAGTTATAACACTTCTCAAGTACTTAGGAAGCAGTTTAGGTATAGAAAGCCAAGTTAGTTAATACATTCATCCAGTTAAATGACAATCTTCATCCTTCTTTACACATCTCACTCAAAATTAATCACCCTTGATATAAAAGACAGTTTTGGCATCTCCCTCAAACCTGTCATGCCAAAGTCTATCATGTGAATATGTAGTGGATTAGACTGATACTGACACTTCAGTCTTCACTCAACATTCCAATGTGTTTATTTAAATAATCTTTCACAGAGGAGGCAATTAAAGCATATAAAGGACAGGTCAAGAATAAAAAAGAGGCCAAGGGCCAACAATTGAGCCTGAAACAAAAAGTAAACACCATCACCAGCACACACAATTCCCACCTGCCAGTCAACAGATGCCTTTTAGATATGCTAATATCCTAAGTAGAAGCAGGCTGAAGGGCCTTAGAAGTGGAGGTCTCCTGGGACCACCCCTATAAGAACATCTGCTGGCACTGGCTGATGAACAGAGATGAATCTCAATTCATGGAAAGACTAGCCATGATCAAGCTCTTTGTGCGCATGTGTGTGTGTGTGTGCGCATGTGTATATAAGAAAGAAAATCACACATAACCTGCAATTTGTGTGTATACCAAAGTTGGCCAGTGATGGAAAATGAAATCTGCATGAGATTCTCATTTGAACTGCTGCAAACCTACAAGGAACTCCTGAGGAGGACTGCTGGTCTCTAAACACTATGAAAAACGACAAAATAACTGAACACTGCGAAGGTAACATGCAGCTTCATAGCAACTGCTAAAATTTCCTTATGAAAGAAAGTGTTAAAAACAATACACCACCGGGTTTATTTTATTCTTCCATTTTGTTTTGAAAACCAAAACATGCTCCATTGAATCCAAGCAAACTCCTGCAGTCTCTCAGTAATTACCAGCTACCCAGCAGAATCTCTCTGGGCTGGCCTTTCTCCCTCTTCCCCCTCACACGCATTCATTCATATATTCCTTGCAAAGGTAGATGTGAAAATAAAACATACACAGGCCTCCACTTTATCCTCTATTATCTGAAGGAGGCAGCAAAATATAAGCTGAAGATTAATTTGGAGCTGCATTGCTATTTCTTTGACATAAGCACTTAGATCCTGGCCCTGACCTCATTCTCAAAAAGCTGCAAAGGGAAGGGGTGTGGCCAAAACAAGGGGGGAAAGGCCTTTTCATTCATAAACACTGGATCCCAGACTAATCCCTGTTGATCTGGTTCCCTGTGTGTCCCTGAATACTGAGCTTCTGTCAGAGCTAGCTAGATGGTCCTAAGCCACTAAAAGCCATAGTTGCAGGAAAGGAAAGCAAAAGTCCTTGCAGATGGCATCTACATAGTTCTATAAGGAATTAAAATCTAACCCTTATGCAATAGCTCTTTCCCAGCAACAGGATGGCCAAAGTAACTAGTGCCTACCAGCTGCCTCCATGTGGTATCCGTGATGGGAATTAACATGTTGCTTATTTAAGCAAATCAGACAGTGACAAGAGGGTGGGGATCCTGCTGCTCTCAAGTATCAGCATCTGAGAGAGAGAGAGAGAGAGAGAGAGAGAGAGAGCAAGCACAGGAATGGATGGAAATGACCTCCATAGCTCCAAGGCACTGAACCTTCTTTCTGTTTCATGGACTATGCCGGGGGCCATGTGTTCAGCCAGAAGGCTTGCTCTTGGTGAGGTCCAGGGAAGCCAAACTGTCCCACTCACCATGATCCATCAGCAGCTGTCTCCATGCAGGAACTGACCAATAAAGGTAAATGTGCATGGCATCTTGAAACTCTCTCAATACCTCTTGATCATGTCATTGATGACATTGTCAACCTGGATCCAGGTGCTGCAGGAAGACATTAACCCTTTGAATTTGTTCAGGAAAATAGAACCAGAAGAGACTGGACTTCCTTCCTCATGGCTTTAGCAAAGCCACCCAAAAGGTCTAGTTTATTCTTTCTCTCTCCCTTTAACAAATTCTCATTGTCTGAGACCCCTGTTGTAAATTAAAAGAAAGAAAGAGAGGAAATAAAGAATACAAAATGATTAAATCTTCTTCTAAAGGATAATAATTATTTTATATAAAGCCTCCAAATAGTAAGTACTTATTTAACATATACTATGCATAGGTCCAGAGAAACAAAAGACTGAAGTCCACTTGGAGTTATAAAATGTACTCTTTACAGAGTAGTCCTTATACAGATAAATTCTATGCTATTACTCGATTAGTGGTAAATGTTCAGTATAGGTATAGTCAATTTATAGTAAGATAGTAACTATATAGATCATTAATAAACCGAGTTGGAGAAGTATAAGTACTACAGGGGATCTTGTCTTGCTATCACTTCATGCTTCTTTTTTTTTTTTTTTTTGGAACTGGGAATTGAACCAGATTAAGATTCAGTTCCTTCCTTCCCTCCTTTCTTTTGATTTTGAGACAATTTTTCTCTAAGTTGCCCAGGCTGACCTTGAACTTGCGACCCTCCTGCCTCAGCTTCCCCAATCACTGGGATCACAGGCCTACACCACCACACCAGACTAATAGCTCTTCATTCTTAAAGTGCCTTTTCTTTGAACAAGTTATGCTTACTCCAAGATGCCTTTGAAAAGGGTAGGGCCACTGGAGATCCCTCCATGTATTCCTATAGTCCCAGGGGTAGGGACATGGTAAAATGAGGTCAAAAGAGCACAGTACCTAAGAGAGGAAAACACGCATGGCCTCCAACAGAATAATCCTCACAAAGACCAAGCACTTTATGAAGCAGGTCCCAGACCTAGACTTGTAGGCAGGAGCCTCACACAGGAGATCACCTAACATTAGCAGTCACAGCACAATTTCTGCTTTCCAGAGCCTGTCCAGCATTTCCCACTTCCTATAGATTGGACACTCCAAATCACCTTGTCTTCCTTGCATGGTACTGCCTACCATATTCTTAGATTTACTGAAAATACCCACATGCTACCTGGTGATGCTGAATACTAGGTGATATTTCCAGAGTGTGAGACTCCAAAACACAAAAGCCATTTGATCAATGTTATTAGAACAATAGCATATAAAGTTACTTTACTGACAGAAAGACAGTCATCAATTTTCCTTAACTCCAAGATGAAGCATGAAACATTTACACAGAATACCACGAACACACACAGTGTGTTAAAACAACACCACAACAAAGGAGGGAATCTGATGGTAATCAAGAGGGAGTTTCACAACCATCTTCCAAAATGGAAACTCTAGCAGGCCATGAAGACCTTCCAAAAGCCTGAGAAATTTTACAGAAATGAAAACTAGTATAGCCAAGTAGGGAATAGTTCCCCTCAGTTCCCCGAGCTCCTGGGAAAAGGCAGATTCAGTGATGTGACTACAAAGGGGCCTGAGTCAGGGAAGGTGGTTCATTAGAGAAGAGACCTCACCCATTCTAGAACCTGGATTCCAGTTGCCAGGTTGAGGCCCAAATGTTTTCAACTAGCATGTGAAGCTAGCTACACAGCCTTCAGAGATGGATTTGAGACAGACACAGAGGTGGCTGACACCAGAATTCTATCACCTGGAGAATTTTTCTTAAAAAGCAGAGATGCCTTCTTCCCACCCTGGGCCAGGCAGCCACCAGTGGGGGAGGGGAAGCTGGGCACCTCTATTTTTAACAGGCTCTTCCAGAAATCTGACATGTGGCCAAGAGTGGGAGTTGCTGAATTAAAGCCATTAGGGGAAACCACTTAGCTCAAGTCAGAGATTAATTTACAAATGTCGCCTTAACAATTAGCCCATTAGAACATATGCATGAGGCCTGCAGGCTTGGAGGATCTGCTAGGAGTACTTGAGAAAGTACAGAGAGGAGAATGAATTAATTCTCTCCTGAGCAGGCTGTGCATAGTCTCCTCAGCTCACAGTAGAACAAATGACCCTAATTAGTGATTCTCCATGTTTGATGTAGAATCCAGCTACTGGCAGTAGAGACCCTTCTCAGAAAATGGACAAATTTCTCTACGTGATTCCCAAATTACTGAGGTATAATTTACATATGACAAAATTCACTATATACAGAAAAAATAGATATAAGAATTACCAAGAGAAACAATCTGGGGACATTTTGTTTCTGAGAGATAATACCATCCCATCATCTAAATTATCATGTTTGGTCCGGTGAATTTAACAACTCCAACAAACATTTATTCTTAGGCACAAGGCCCAGAGTGAGAGACAGAGAAATACAAAGGTGATATTGCTAAACCAGGCC